CTGGCGGCCTCGCCTTCCTGATCCCGTGGTTCTCTGAGGCGGAGCTTGCGACGATGGACCCACAGATGCTCCCTTCCCTCTCCTTGGACCCTGTGATTGATGGTCGCGTCGCGGTCCTCACTATCAGCAATTCGACTAACAACGAGCACATCAAAATCATGAATGTCCACAACCACGAGCTGCCCACGGCCAAACTCCCTCTCGTGCGCCGTCGCTGGCTTGACGGAGCTGCATGGGCTCAAAGTGACGAACGGCACCGCATTTTCATCGCAATTGGGGACTTCAATATTGCTGACATTGAACCGGTGCACCTCTCTTCTCCGAGAGCGGCTTCGGCTTCGGCACCTACACGGGGCGCCGGGCGACGGAGAACGTCTGCTACTTCTTCCTCTTCCTCGTCCTCTACATCGTCCTCCTCCTCCTCGGAATCTGCTGCGGAGATGGCTTTGGGAGACGACCGACGAGCTGGTGGCAACAGCCGATCGGTCTGGCACCGTGGCAATCAGGCGCAGAGCTTCTGGCGCAACCTCTTCCAACGGGACCTGGTGGAGGTGGTGAGCGAGCTACCCACCCACTACTCCAAGCGCCACCAGTCATGCACGTTCATTGACAGGGCCTTCATCTCCTTGAAATCGCACTTCCTCTTGGACACCTCCATCGCCTTCGAGGTCTGGCAGGAGGCGACCTCACTGGCGGACTGGGGCCTCAGCGACCACGCCATCATTCAGCTGCGGATCCAGCCACGTGCCGCGGCTGCTCCCGACGATCGTGCGATCCCCCAGAGCGTCTTCCATTCGCCGCGGTTCGCAAAGCATGTCACTAACCTGCTCAACCATTCCGACTTCACGAACCTAGCGGAGGAGAGTCGCTGGGCCGAGGTGAAGCTGCAGATGATCGAAGCTGCTCGCATCACCCGCAATGAGCTCCAGGCCCTCCCTCTTGGCGATGGCCACGCTGAGGCCCTCGAAGGCCGCAGAATCTCGACACGGGCGATTGCGAGAGCCATATGGAGGCAGGACCTGCACCTCGCGCACAAGCTGATCCACTCCACTGCCATGGGCCGTCAGCACCTCACCATCGACGGAGACAACCGCATCCTGCTGGTCAATCCCCCCGCATTTGAACGAGAGTGCATGGACCTTCATCTCGCCTGGCATGAACGCCAGCAAGCTGCAGCGGCCGCCCGACTTCGTGAACACGCACAGCTGCAGCTTGACGCGGGCGACCCCACCATCCAACAGATGCGGAAGATACAACGTGCTGCACAACGGCGAGCCCTTCTTTGGATTCCTTACCGTCGTCGGCTGGTGCTCAAGGGTCTTCGCATGGATGGTGAGGGACACCAGGCGGGCATCGAGCGTCACCCGACCATGATCATGGATGGCTTGCGTCAGCATTGGCAGCCTGCCTTCACAGATCACCCTGTCGACATCGACGCGGTCGACGATTACCTGCGCACTCACCTCCCTGAGTTTGACAGCCCAGCTCTGGAGGTTCCTTCCCCAGCTGTTCTTCGAGCTGCGCTGCTTCGTGCCAAGCCCACCGCCCCTGGGCCTGACCGACTTCCTGCGGCTGCCTGGCTGGCGGACCCACGGTTGGTGGACATCCTCTACGACATGATGATTGGCCTGTACCAGGGCAGGGGTGCGCCACATGGCTTCAACTTCGCTGACATGGTCTTCATTCCCAAGGGCGACGAGCCCTCGGACTCCGTGGAGGTGGTCCGCCACGCATCGAAGCTTCGACCTCTGAGCCTCAAGAACTGTGATGCCAAGGCAGTGGCTAGTGCAGCGAATCGTGCACTCGCCCCACTCGCGGCAGCACGAGTGCATGAACGCCAGCAGGGCTTCGTGCGCGGACGGAACTTCCTGTCTCACGTCGTCCGTCAGGATGCGGTCGCTCGTGCTGCCAGCCACCACCCTGAGCTGTCCCCCCTCTTTGTCTCCTTTGACCTCCGTGCTGCGTTTCCCTCCCTTTCCCAACCCTTCCTCTGGCGAGTGCTCGAGCGTCACCGCATCCCGAAGGGCTTTCTTAATGTAATCTGTGCCTTGTACTCTGGGGCTCTCGCCCACTCCCGATGTGGAGCATCCCGCCGCCCACTCTTCCTGGTGACGTCTGGCGTGGCCCAGGGCTGCCCCCTCTCAGGCACGATTTGGGCCCTGTCCATGGACCCCTTCGCCCGCCACATCCAGTCTCAGTTAGCGTCGCCCGCAGCATTGGCCCTCTGCCCGAGCCCCGAGCGTTGGTGCCCACGGCTAGAGCCTGAGTGCGGTGTGACGGCGGATGACGTTGGTGCCACTCTCCCCTCGATTCGACTTCTCCCCCTGCTCGTCCCACCCTTCACCGCCGCCCGCGCGCTGGCGAACCTCGAGCTCCAGCCGAAGAAATGCTGCGCCGTTCCACTGGCTGAAGAATGCACGCCCTGTGTTGCCGCACGAGTGAGCGCGAAGATAACTGCTCTGGCCCCTGAGTGGGCTTCCTTTCACGTCCGCGGCTGCACTCCGTTCTTGGGATTCGCGTTTGGACCAGGGGCGTCTCTCGCGGATCAGTGGACCGACCCAATTCGTAAGTGGCGACGACGCACAGCCGAAGTCGCACTCAGCAGGACTCCAGCAGAAGCCAGCTGCCGAGTATATAACTTCGGCATCCTCTCAGTCCTGAGCTACGTCTGTCAGCTCTACCCCCCTCCTCCCGACCTCCTTCGCTCCGAGCGTCATGTCCTCCACCGCCTCCTCCGCCTCCCCCCGAATGCCTTCGGCCTGGGGGAGCTCCTGGGCCTTGGCTCCTGGCTTCGCTCCTCGGTCCCCAGGTCCGTGCGGGTTCTGGCCGGGGCCTCCGCCTGGCGGACCGCGGCGTCCTCCCTTCCCAGGGATGGCCCCAGGGGCTGGAGCCAGGCTTTGGCGATCCTGCGGGCCCAGGCCGAGATGCACGGACCACTCCAAGCTCTAGGCTCTCGAGGGCTCTCGAGCGCCGCGTGGCGTCGCTCGCTCTCAATCGTTGAATTCTTCGAGGAAGTGCTGCACGGCGATCCAGCAGGGATTGCCCGTGCCGCCTGGCATCGAGCGGAGGCTGCCGCTCGCCATGAAATAGCGGAAGCCTCGACCGCCGACCGACGGCCGAGGCCCCAGCGTGCCCTCTCCCTGAGCCTCCATGCGTCCCTCTACCCTGACTCCTTTCCCTCGCTTCTCGCCCGTCGCATCACCTCCTGGCTTCCTCTTGCTCCTCCTCTTCCCATTGCTGACCTCACCTGCCGTTGGGAGGAGCTCCGACGAGTCCTCACTCGGAGCCCCCCTGCCTGGGCATGGGCCCATATCAAAACGCTGGCGGGGGCCTGGACTA